CACACACACACACACACACACACACACACACACACACACACACACACACACACACACACACACACACTCTTAGTTTTTTGTTCTTCATTTTAATCGTTTTGCCTCCTATCCCCTCTCTCTTTTCTTTATTTTGTGTGTGTGTATACGTACGTATGTACAACCATCTTTATGAGGATCAGTTTGAGTTTTAGAACAATGGAGTGAGGACACAGTGAGGAAGTGAAGATTTTTCATTTTCCCACACCCCTTCAAAGGGCTGTTTGAGGGTTAATACTTTCACTTTCAATCTCTGTCAGTCTGCCCCAGGGCAGCTGTGGCTACAACTGTAGCTTGCCTTCACCAGTGTGTGAATGTGAGAATGAATGAATAGTGGTATTGTAAAGCGCTTTGAGGGGGTCCCGAAAAGCACTATGTAAAATGCAATCCATTATTATTATTTTTATTATTATGATAAAAGGTAAGAGTTAGGTTTCTATTGGGTAAGGCACTAGGGAGTGTAATATGTCCATAAATGTTCTCACAAAAATAGCTACACGTGTGTGTGTGTGTGTGTGTGTGTGTGTGTGTGTGTGTTCACACTTGTCTGAAGATAAATGTCACTGCTACAAAAGAATAACATAATTATACTGAATGCTAGTGTGGCATTTATGCCTTGCCGTGTGGGTAATGGACTAGAATAATTGGAGTGTGTGAGTTAATGGTTTCAGGTAGAAGATCACAGCGGCTTTAGCTAAAAGGGTTCCTTTCATTCCACGTTCCTTCAGTGCATTTATATTTGTACATATGTACTCTCTACCAGTTTGTGATTATTAGAATATAAGCATGCGATCTAAGATTTTAATCAACAAAGTTAAAAGCAAAAACTTTTTTAGAAAGCTTTGAGTTCAAGTGTCATTTCTGTCTGATATCAAGAAAAATGTCAATGAGAAGAAAGACGGGAAAAAGCTTTAAAAAAATGACACATGGGTTAAATTAAAATGATTCTTATTTTATGTTCTTATTATTATTTATAGAATGATGCAAGCAATCTGAGGAAAGGGTGTATCCCATACATAGCATAAAAGCTGGGTGTAGCTTCTAGGTCTAAAAAAATGAAGCCACTGAGAAAGTAACTTAAACCTCCATTCTATCTAATAGACAGCGGGGGTGATTCCTCACGTTGCAGGTTACTGTTGTATAGAAGTCTATGGGAAAACAGCCCTCAGCTCAGTTGCTCTGTAACCTCAGTAAACACTTTCCTGATGAATTTATGAGCTCAGTCTTTTGTTTCAGAAATGAAGATAGTCTCACTATGCTGTCAATCTACCCTTTGCTCATCAGGTACTTTCAAAACACCATGACGAAAACGCTCTACCCTAGACCTAAAAACAGGACCTTCATAACAAATGGTCACAATGGCCACCTCTGCCTTTAATACTGTGTACATGCTCAGTTAATTAACAAAGTGAAGGTATCTAAAATGTGTCCTCTAAAACAATTCCTTCACACTAACTGCTGTGTCATGTGAAAATAGATCTGCTGACCACACATCCTCCTAAAGACAATCAAAAAAGTTTTTTTTAAAACAAACAAACAAAAAAAACTGATTTTATACAATGATGATGAGGAAGAAAGGAGAACTAAGAGGGGCAGAAGGAGGAGGAGTATATACAGCATCACTGCGATTCCATTTTTGATTCCATTTTCTTACACCGTAACAAAGTAGAAGTGCAGTAAATCTGCAAGCAGCATTTACTGTGTTGTGACTGTGGACATTGCTATTTACGTCAGCCATATTTTAACTTAATAAACTGAGAATATTACATCACAAATTATGCTCAAGCAAATGTATTTACCTTGCACACGACAGACCTCTGCTTTATAACATACCTGACAGCAGATTTGGGTATGGATCCATACAGCAGAGAGCTGAGACCTCTGTACAGCCCTTTGATACCGTGACTCTGTACTGTCTGTTTCACACAGTCACCTAAAGCAGATACACAAGCAGCAAATATTATAGAATGAACATGATATGCATATTTGCATACAACACAGTTTGCTTTCTAATTTTCAAATATAAAAATTCTACAATTTGTCTGTTTTTCAGGCTGAGTGCATTAACCCTTTAGAGAATACACCAATACACTTGTCATTTACACCTCAATCATCAACATCACAAAAGAGCATGTAGCAACAGTAATTAAATATAACATATATATGCCGCAGATAGGCTGAGCCTCAGCTGATATTTTCACAAAATCTGGTGTTTTACTTTAAGCTTGTTCCTGGCTCTTGGCTGCATCAGTCCAGCAATCAAAGTTCTCCAATGAAGCCAACTGAACAAGAAAAGCAGCAGCTGTCTTGAGTGCTCATTAGCACGGTCTCCAATCCTCAAATCCTCAAATGATATCCACAGATCCTGGGTGTGTTTGTGTACACTCGTATGCATGGATGGCGAGTGTGCATTGGTCTGATCTAAGTCATATAAACAAGCACAGTGACAGCCTGCCAGAATCACTAATGTACCTGGGGATGATGGGTAATTAGATAATGAGCTCCCGAGAGTGTTGCTTTTATTGGATTATTGTATGTTTTTTTTATCATTGTTTATGCTCTCTTGCTGCAGAAATACTGTTTATTTTATTAGGTTTTGCTGAAAATTTGAATAAAAGTAATAAAGAATACCGTTTTTGAGCCTGTAGTAGATGTCTGCCACCAGATTAAATCCTGCACTCCCTGGTCACTTCATTAGGTGCACCATGCTAGTGTTTTGACTTGCTCAAATGCCACGAATAGAGTTATGCTTCCAATTTTATAAATATTAACAAAAGCTTAACAGATTCAATAATAAACATAATGTCTGTAAGTACATATCATTGGTGTAAAGCAGTCCATTGATGGGTTGATGAAATGTGTTGCATGTAAAAAAACAAAAATTAAAATGATAACGCAACCAAAAAGAACCAGACAGGATGACATGGGCCGTGCATGCACTGTGGTCATAAAAGGACAGACATGGCCAGGCTGTTTTATGTAAAGCGTTCCATCATCTTTTGTCAACTACCCTAGATTAATCCCAGAAAGTTGATTTTGTGCATCTGGATGTTGAAACTGAAGAAGCCACTTGGATGACTGACGAAGAGTAACAGAATCAACTTTCTGGGATTTCCTTGCCTGGATGATTGAGCATGCATCGAGACATTTTTATCCCATATTAAATTTACATTGTAATTCGTGAGTCTGTTTTCCCCCAATTGAGTTATTGCTATCACTTCCTGTTTTATTCTGATCGTTACTCTTTTTCAGTGTGTAGTGTTTAGTTGTCTTTCTCCTCCTTATTTTCACCTGTCTCTCAATACCCTGCTGTGTCCACATATGCTAATTACCCTCATATTTCCATTACTGCCCCTGTGTGTCTCTAACAGTTTTTGAAGTGCTATGAGTTTTGAGTTCCTCATCATTTAATGGATTTGTAATCAGCCTAAATAAACGTTTGCCTTCTGTTTACAGCTGCCTGCTGATGAGTCTGTATTTATGTCCTCTCCTCTCATAATTCATGTGACTCTTGGTTTGAACTTCAGGAGGTTGACCATATTTACATGCTCAAATGCACTGCTGCTATGTGATTAGCTAATTAGATGTTCACATTAATGTGTGACTGAACAAGCATATCCAATGAAGTGGCTGGTGAATGAATTCCACTCATTTTACACTATTCCACTCACTGCATACAAACCTATTCCTCTATATTTTGGTGGATTGGCCTTCTCATCCAGCTGTAACTGGGTCTTGACATACTCTGTGGGAAAGGTGATGCAGATCTCTATGCCACCTGCGATTCCACCTGGAAACACAAAAGAAATCAGACCCAATCATCATTCATTCAGAAAACATACAAGAACTGCCACAGACAAAAGTGGCACCAATTTAAAAGTGAACACTGAAGAAAGAAAACCAGCTGCTGTGTCTGTTTGGGTGCAGCCTTACTTAGACTGCTGCTCCCCTTAAGAATTACAAGGTACGCCATTACATCATGGATCATTACAGTGACTCCACAAATGGCTCTCCCTCCATAAACATTAAAAGCGCTGCTGTAGAGGGAGGAAGAGTAACGAGCTGGGCAAAAATGAATCAACTGTTCCTGTCTCAATGAAGAATGAATAAACTAGAAGGAGGTTGTGCAAGAAAATTCAGCTGCCACTTACACGTTTGACTATTTTCTTTACCTAAAGCATTAAATGAGTGTTTGGAGAAAGAAAAATAGACAGAAAGAAAGCAAGAAAAGGGTGATTCTTAAGTGATTCTTGCAGGGTTTGGCCTGAAACCAGCCAAAGACAGTGAGTTACTGCAAGTAGATGAGGACAAGTGTTCAAAGCCAAAGAATAACACAGATGAGTCACAAGGAAAGGAGGAGGGATGGAGAGACGGTTGACATTAATTAAATTATCCACGGCCTACAGGGAGGGGTTCCATTACCGAGGCCAAGACCCTCCATTAACTCAATGACACAGATGAACACACATGAACAGCGTGCACGAGACGCACAAGCAAGTCACGGGTTTACACAGACACTTACAGAAATTAGTGCTTGAAAAAAAAATCTAATCAGAAATGAGAAACCTCTTACAGTAACACATCTAAATTTGAGCAAAGACCAAAACAATTTCCCCAAAGACCACAGGAATCCAACACAGTGAAAATCAAATCATCTCACTCAAAGTGAAGTACTGACGTCATACAAAGTGCAGGAAATGGACATTTTAAAATCAATATTGGGTGTGACGACCATTTGCCTTTAAAACAGCATCAACTTTTAGCATTAGTTGACTCATTCGCGCTGGGACACCAGGAAAATGTGAACAAAAGAAAGCATGTATTTTCACCACTATTTTTGACAACAAAATACATTTTAAGAACGCAAAATCATGACGTTTTCACGTTGATATATTGACCATAACAATGAGTAACATGAGGGTCCCCGTAATCAGATTCTGTAAATATGGGAGAAATATTTAATGGGGAAACCTTCCTGGTTTCCAGTCTAGTTTCTAGCCTTTAGTTCAAGTACTATTCACCATTTATGTGCATGCTGTTGACCTTTGAGCTTCAAGTAGGTGCCTCTTAAAGAAAAACTTAGCAGCACATGTACTTTTTTCACAAACTTTGTGGTGTTTATGTTTCATTGAATCTACTCTTACATCCACATTTGCCTGGTACATGTCACTGAACCTTAAAAAAATAAAAGTAGACTGCAAGGTATCATCAACGTGTGCAGCAACATTGCACATGAGCCTAGGACTTCCAAGAAGCCCAGTCAGTCGTGGCTGATCTTGGCCCTTTTTCTGAGGAGCTCACGTTGCTTCTGTTTGACTTCAGACACAGTATACCAACACAAATGGCAAAGACTAAACCTTATCTGCCTCGGCTGCCACTGGCCTTTTAAATGACACACTAACTTTATAATAATCCTACTTTATTCTGGACTTCTACATTTTTAGTAAGTTTTCATGTTTCACTTGTTGTTTATTTAAGACTGCGTACTTGAAACCCTCTGTGCGACTTCTTCTGACTGTACAACAAATTGCCCATTAAGGTAGATAAAGGCACGTTTGGTCCTTGAATGTTTAATCCACCAACTATGAGTTAAACTTTTTATTAGCTTTAATATTTTATGTGCTTTTATAAACAATAACCCGGAAACAGGTGATTGTTAATTAACTTTTCAGCAACATATTTCATTATTAGCAATTTTCCATTTAGCTGCCCTTGATTCTCAGGAGTCTGCTAAGCCGAATGCCAATGTAGCTGCCCATGCTAAACCAAATTCTAACCTCATCTCTAAAATCAAGCATGACAAACTGTCCTCAGATCTGAAAGCCAAACACAAGATCACCACACACAGACAGACATACATTTTAATCAGGAGGCTCGTGAGCTGTAATGCTGCTAATCCTGCTGGAGTAGTAAGTAATCGTACGCCAGCTGAGGTGTAACAGAAATCACATGAGCTTTACAATACTCCATTCAGCGACATCCATCCTGATCCAGGATCAGTGGCCCAGTGTGTCTTGGATAGAAGACTAAACAATCAACATTATTCTTCTGCTTTGTGCCAAGACGTCTCTGCATGTAAAACCAACCAGCACTCACTCAGAACACAGCAACTCAGCAGCAGAGACAAACACAAGATCAATCCTCATCAGACACAGCGCCTGCGGAGGAGAAGCTGCCCGTTTGTCTCCTAGTCCATTTTGCAGCATATACCCAGTACTGAGGCACACACGTGCCTCTACACACATTTACAGATGACACCCTAAACGACTCCTGTGAGCTGCCAAAACTGGGTTACATGAGAAAAATGGCCATTAATCTTTATCTTCCCAGGCTCGCTCTCCCTCTCCTGCTCTTAATTTTTCTCTCGGCAGCACCTTCCTTCCTCTCTCCTCATCCCCCCACTACTCTTCTTCACTCTGTGTCATAAAATCGATGCATCGATATGGATTTCTGACACTTAATATTACAAGAAAGGAAATTGAAAAGAGTAAGCTGAACCCAGAAGAGGGTAAAAAAAATAAAATAAATGGAGTCCCTGATACAAATATGCTTCTACAGACTGTTAAAAACTTAGACTAAACAGCAGTTTAATAAATCAGACACAGATGTGCCATTTCAAGGTAACACTGTCACTCTCTGGGCAGAGAAGATAAATTTATAACTTAATCAACACCTCTCCAATTTCACAGATGGGCCCTGCACAGCTGAATGCCTGCATAGCCAAAAATGTGTGAGACATAAATCTCAAAATTAAATGCATATGAGGCAAGAATACACTTTTGTAACACTTTCAGGATTTCCCTGAAACTTTGGATCCTGGTTGCAGGAATCTCCTTCCATTCAGCTACACCGGTGCTGTGACTAGGCTCAATCAGCCATCTGGTTTCAAATTCATTCCAAATTAATAAATTCACACCAAATTAGAACTAGACCACAAACCAGACCAGACAGCCACCTGGTGCTGAAACATTTGCACATTTATAATTATTACAGCAATCCACCCAGACACTGTTAGCTATACAGTTACCTTTTGCTTTCTTGCATTTTAGTTTTCCTGGTGTTGAAAAAAATAAGGATACAGTGTGTTATGTTGTGTGTTTTGCTCATCCGAGGTTGCATTTAAATGAATTTAAAACCTGAGATGTACCAATTTATTTTTTTTTATTTCCTGATATTTACAATCTTAGAATTGAAAGGCAGTTTTCTTTTTTCACATGACTATGTATAAAAATCCTTACCAAAACACAGTCTGTTCACAATTATAGACGATAAAGAAAAGGGTTGCATCCATAGAAATGAAAAGATGGAATAGTTAAGGAAGGTTTCTTTTATATAAGAAATGTTGGCACACCCAAAGAGGTTTTGTGCTTTTTCCCCCCAGAGGGAAATCACCAAGATTGTAGTACAAATTTTTTCAGACATTTTGACAAGCGAACATAATTTCACTTGCAGAAATAATAAGATTTCTGTTAATTAATATAGCACAGGCCTGCTATCTTTATTATATGTGGTACAATAGTGCTCAGTCACCTCCAAAGGTCCATTTAAGCCAGGAGAAACCCTTTAGGTGCTTATTGACTTATCGCTTAAATGACCCACCATTTCAACTCCACCTACTTTTGAACTCATTCTTTATGTACACATTGACCAACTGATATTAACGAATGAAAAATCCACACATACACAAATTGACATCCATTGTTTGTAGTACAGAGAGACACAGAGGAAGCCAGGTGAGAAGACAGCCAGGCAGCCAGCTGACAGGGAAGAGCAGCTTCTGAAATCCTGTCCTGTCTGCTATGGTGACTAATGAGCACCCAGCACATCTGGTGCACTAAAAAAAAAAAAAGAAGAAGAAGAAGAAGGAAAAAAAACAAAACAAACAACTTCCTTTTTAGTTAGGAAGACCTGGCAATGTGGCATGTTTTACATATATGGGAAGTACCGTTTCTATCGGTATTTAAATTTTTTTCACTAGCAGTATAGGGTTAGCTCTTCAGCCTGCTGCACTAAATCACTGATGCAGTAAAAGTTAAAGACAATAGAACACACCCAAAATAATCTGTGTCGGTCTGTGTGTTTTGCATCAAAATGTATTATTAATTCGGATGTTCTTCATCAGGATGGTTATCGGTTACTTCCAATTCTCTGGTGGGGAGAAAACACGCGAAAGAGTCTGAGGGAAAGATGTTCTTACGGTCAGATCTCCAGTCAACATGAAGAACGTAGCCAGAGGACTGATGCACTTCAAACAGGAGGTGTCATATTAGTAGTGCTGCGATATTTCTGTTTGACTTGCGCAAAAGATGAAAAGAATAATTCATCTGACGTCTGGCCTTTTAGGCTTCCTCTGTCCTGGATAACACTCTGTAATTCTCCACTGATGCTTAATTATATGAGGGGGATGTTGATTAATTTTACATAGGAGTCGATTCAACTGCCTAGAACCCTGCAGCATGAAGGCTGTACTCTTCTTTACATGAGCAGAGCAACTACGCACAGGTTGTTGTGACAAGCTGTACATCTGGAGACAAGGCTGAATTTGTATTAGTTATGTATTTATGTTGAATGACAACCAACTTTCAGCATCGGTTAAAGTAACGTTTGCAACAGTGTCAAAAAGGCATTAGGTTGTCTACGATGAAACAACTTCTCAACCAATCTTTGACCTCAGGAAACAGCTTCCTGATGAGTTTATGCTCTCACTTGTTTGATACAACACAATGCATGGCCCCAAATGGAGACAGAAAGGGGGATTGAAGGGGACGATCTTGGCTGTCTTTACATAGACTGCTAATTTCCTGCTGTATAAATGTTCTGTACTCTCTGATTTCTCAGTGATTCCCAGCCTTCATCTGTGATCCCTGGCCCCAATGTAGCTTTGATACTGAACTAATGGCTTTAAAATGGAAAGCAGTGTCAGAACAGCTTTGTCACTCTTTCATACAGAGTCTATGTTTACAACACATTTAGATCGTGTGTGTTCTGGCATCTTTACGCTCATTGTTTTGTTTTATTGCTCTCTTTAGTGTGCCTTCCAGATGCAGGCAGCTATTTTTAAAAGCCCTGTACACAGCAAAGGACCAAGAGCAGACAAAAGTTATAGGTATCTCCACATACTGGAAAATTTTGCCACTAAGAGCCGGATATTTCCCTCAGGACCCGTCTGAGGAAATAGGATATGAAGGCCTTTAAATTATTGTTTTGAGCTAGCCATTTTTCATCAGGGTATTTTTGAACCCAACACATTAGTTGTAAATTAATTACCCTGCTATAATTAATATATCATATTTAACTTTGACACAAATTTATAGCAGCTTCATGTTGATGCTGAGTGATCTTTTTCTTTTTCTTTTTTTTTTTTAAACAATGTGGTACTAAATCAGATCTGCAAAAAAAATCAGAAACACAATGGCAAAAACAAAACGTGTAATATTAAGCTGACATTAAACTGGCGCTCTGTATTTTAAATTATTGCAATCTTTTTTCTGTGATGTTTATTCGCGTGAGCGGGAGTGCAAGCTGTTACAGTGGGGTGGCTGGGGGCTGAACAGACGAGTGCACTGTGAATTATTGTCTCGCCTCCTGGTACTCAGGGTCTGCAAGCAGCAACCACAATGGATGGGAGGGGACACTGTGTGTCGCCTGTGACGCGAGGAAACGGGGAGTAAGCCACAGTTTGATGAGCCCTCTGAGCCTGAGAGCAGACAGCCACTCAGAAACCTTAACTGGCTGCCCCGAGGCTGGAGCGAGAGTGATGGAGGAGAGGAGAAGAAAGGGGGAAAGGAGGAAATGTGATATTAAAACTATCAGAGAAATACCCAATCTATCTAGGAAAGCAAGAAAAAAAACCTTCCTCATTCTTACTGCGGCTCTGAGTCCGCTTCTCCAGTACAAAAAGGTTATTAATAAAAGCTACAACAGCACATGAAATCACAACAGCCTGTAAACCAGGACCAGAGAGGCATTTAGATCGCGCTCTCCCTGAGGCTTCACACAGATAAAATTCTCCCTCCTGTCGTGTCTCAACTTCAGTCATCACCAGTGGCTGTGGAGAGAGGAGCTGAACAAACCAATGGGAGCAGAAAAGAGCTCGAAGAAAAGAAAAAAAAATACCCCGCTTCTCTCAACCAGACTATGCGGGCTCGCTAAGCCATTAAGCTTTGACCTTCTGCTTCTTGCTTTGTCTTCTTTTGAGCCTTTGGCCATTTATGTGAGTGACTTTCTCAGTGTACACAGACATACTGTTAACCAAGAAGGATACAAAGTAGCATTAGCATGACAGAAAACCAAAAAGAAAACCTAGTTAGAACTGTTTAAACTATTATCTTTCCTTTTGGTATCTCAGGTCAGAATCACACATTTTATATCTACTGCTGAGTCATCCTGTGACGCTCTGATGCACCTTCATTTCTAAACTGTAGACAGAGAATGATAAGTCGCTGGTTTCTACACAGGATGCACAAAGTTGAGACAGAATGCAACTGTGCGGCTGTTGCAAAACTAGACAGACAGGCCTGACTTGAGCTAAACAGCTAAGGGAGCAGGGTACAACACTGGGCCATATCCAGTCAATCAGGCTGCACAGGAGTGATGGGGGAAGGCAAAGATCTCACCACGACCTCTTTTCCATTTCTATGCAGCTGACAGGACATGAGATTTTTTTTCCTCCTCCTCTTACTCCACCTCCCACCCTAACACAAAATCTTAAACTATTTGGCTGTTTTTGAATTGACAGCTTCATTAGTCAGACTAGTGACACGATTCAAACTGATATAAATTAGCTTTAATGTGCACAGGAAAAAAATACCTAAATAGCCTTTAATGTGAATCAGAGGTTCCCAGTTCCAAAATAGTTGGGAAGCTGTGTAATATACAAAAAATACACAAAATGCAATGGTTTGCAAATCTCATTACCATATTAAACCCATAGTTTATTCACGGTAGAACATGAAAAAAGGTTTAAACTTACCATTTTAAGAAGAAACTAAGGTCATTTTGAATTTGATGGCAGCAACACATCCCCAAAAAAGTTGAGACAGTGCCAAATGCTCCAAAAGTTCTAAACTGATAAAAGGTCTGGACTGCAGGACTGCCCGCAGTTCAGCACCCAGGCTCTTCTAATATGAAGCCATGCTACTGTAATAGATCCAGTACAAGATTTAGCATCGTCTTGATGAAATTTGTATGTATGACACATCCACATACCACGAAAGGGTATGTGGATGTGTCAATACCATTGCTAATACCTCTCAATGGTATTGATTCCTCTAATCAGAGAACAGTTTTCCACTTCGTCTCAGTCTATTTTAAATTAATTTTGGCCCAGAGAAGACATAGCGTTTGTGGACCATGATCACATATAGCTTCTTATTCTGCACGAAAGACCTTTAGGCGCCATTTGTGTTCACAGATAATGATTTCTGGAAGTGTTCCTGAGCTCATGAAGATCACAGGCACTCTCAGATTTTCGGCCTCGTCCCTTGCACACAGATTTCCCCAGATTCCCAGGATCTTCTAATAAGCACTGTAGATGACGAGATAATCAAATTCTTCACAGTTTTATATTACTCTGAAATTGTTACACAATTTCTAAGATACTCTTTTTTTAAATCCAGTCTTTTACTGGCCTGTTGTTAATTACTGCAAAATGTTTCTCCAGCTATTTCTTTGTATTGTCACTTCATTTACCAGCCTTTTGTGTAGCCAGTCACAACTTTTTGGAGGTGTGTTGCTTACATAAAGTTCAAAACGAGCTAATATTTTTCACAACATTCTAAGATGTCTCATATTAAAGCTTTAACGTGTTTTCTATGTTCTACATTAACATTGCATTCTGTTCTTATTTACAATGTACACAATATCCCAACATTTTTGGAACTGAGGTTGTAACTTATCACATTTATATTTATTTAAAGTATTTAAAAAAAACAGCAGCTGGTGTTTTTAAATCTACAATCAAAAAGAATTCCTTCAGAACTATAAAACATTCAGTATGCGACAACTGCAGCAGCTCAGGGTTGAAAAATCAGTGTGAGTGCTGCCAAATATCAGCATGTAGCCTTAATACAGGAGCACCTCAGAGAGGCTTTTCATCAGCCGGAGCTGCTGCAGCCTGATCATCATCACACAGGGAGGTCGAGGGGTTTTGGAGGGGAGGGGGCAAAAGGAGACAACTCTGTACAACTCAAGTCTTGTTGAATAGTAAGTTCACCAGTTGATCTAGATATCAGTTGTTTGGAGATAATCAACCATTAATGGCCCTTTTTTAAAATTAGATGTTAAACCATAACTCCCAAAAAACTCAACATTGATTGATAAACCATTCAAATAATTGTCAGTTGCAAGTATTGAGTTAAAAAAAAAGACAGAATACATACAAAAGTAAAAAAGATGTGTAAATTTCTGAGTGCAAAACCTCAGGTGATGAGATCTGCTTAAAACGCCCCCCCCCAAAAGAGCAAAATGTAAATATGTACAGTTTCAAGAAGACTAGTGGTGTACTTTAATGAAGAACATACAGCCTGAAGGCATCTCTTGTGCTCTGATGGCCCACTGCACAAACCCGAGACTCTAAATGGCTCAAGTGTGCGTGGACGACTGCCCACTGCGCATTATGTTAAGTGCAGTGAAGGTGATCTTTAGATAAGTAGGATAAAAATCAAGTCAGTGCAGTGGGTCAAACTGACCTAACCATGACAGCACAGATGGATTTGATAGCACAGAAACACCGAAGAATAAAATCCTCCTTTTGTAGAAGATTCAAGCAGCACCAGATTAGAGTGGCTTAATGACATCCAGGCTATAACTTTGTTTAAAGATCGTTTCCTTCAATCTTACGCTCTACTGCCTAAACTGAAGCTGGGACACATTAGTGCAACTCCACTTACTCACGTCCATGCAAGCAAACGTGTGACGTGTCATTTAAAAGGAAAGCTTTTATCGGAAATACAAACCAGTGTGGTACTCCTTTAGCTCATAATAACTTCTTCTAATCCCAACATAGTGACATTTCTGCAAACTGTAGCGCGTCTTTGCTCGCTGACTTTTTAAAACCTCCCTGGCTTCTGACTCGACAAAGTTTTGCTTCATAGCACAGCCAAGTAGAAAGAAAGAGGCGTGGATGCTTTCTTGAACTGTGACTAACACTAGAGTGGCATTGTGTCCATGTGAGACTTTTCCGTGTGGATTGTGATGCGCTTACCTGCCAGAATCGCTTTTCCCGGATGAGTTAATTTCGCTTTCCCAGCCGGTGCCGCTGCCGCCAGACACCGCGGTCTGTGAAAGGGGCTGATAAAAGTGCCTTTACCCTGCATAGTTACCAGATTAAACGCAGTAAAATTCTAAAAACAAAGCTTCCAGTCTAGTGTGGCTCGCAGTTTTTTCTTTTAGTTTTTGTTTTTCGTTTCCAAATAGAGTATAGTAGCGCAACACCTGGGCGCCTTCAGTCTGAAGAGCTTTCCTGGATTCAGGTGGAGACTCCGGCGGATCTCTGTGTTGACAGTGGGCGGATACTGGAACTGTCAAGGAAGTTGGGATCTTCTATATCCAATAAATGTTATCTGTAACCATGGAAACCCCGTGTCACGACGGTAGTACGTAAGAGAGCAAAGCAAGCCGGAAGCACAGAAAGGGGCGGATAAAGACTTGTGTCCGTGTATCCTGCTGAACTTTATAATGTCCAATTAAAGCGAATGAACTTCAACATCCGCCGAGCGGTCAGTGAACGTTACACCGGGTGTGTAGCTGTAAGAGCGCAAAGTGAGAGACCGGCCACTTTTCCCCCACACACAACAGCGAAAAAGGGCGGGGCACAGCCTCGCCTCACTGTTTTCCTCCAAACAGATGATTACAGCTGAGCGAGGAAAACAGAAATAGGCTAAATGAGTCCTTTGTTGTCGTCTGCTGTGAAAATGGTGAGCATTTTTGACTTCGCCGGCTAGTTACAGGTCCAGATAGTCCAACCACACCCTCTCCAAACAAAGAGGCTCGGAGGCACAGACAGAAACCATCAGTCAGATAAATGACAGCTCGGTTACCAAAATGTCAGAGTCCAGCGGAGGATGGAAATTACAGTGTAGCAAAAAATGGATGTAAACCATGTTTAAAGGTGAAACTCCATACCCTCTTTTGCAAAACAACAAAACAGGGAGGGGAAGAGCCCTCCAGAGCAGTTAGGTTTTCCTGTTTTCCTCCATTTTTAAATCGGTTTAGTGCAAGTTACCTTTCAGAGTAGGTTCGTCCATTTTTGTATTTTTTAAAGCTTATGTTTTGTGTTAGTTTCTCCTTTTTGGATGTGACTTAAGCAGTTCAGAATAAACACTTTGAAGGTATTTACAGTGAACAAGCACGCGCACCAGTGCCTCTGCGAGCGTGCTGTGTTGATGAGAAGTAAACACATTTCCACTCATGCATTTTAATTCTATCCGTCCACTTTTTTCGTAGTCTAACTCTTAATTTTTGTTTGATTCAACTGAAATGTTTCACACCCAGTGTCTCCTGATGTAAAATAACAATGCACGAACACACACAGTGTGTAAACTTTATTCCTCTTTCTGTATGCATGAATTGTGCAGATAAAATAAGCAACTGGTGTGCAGCTCAGATTATTTGCATTTTATCTTTGACAAATCCAGTGCCAGGACCACGACGGGCCAGAGCTCTGCTTATCACATGGGGACGTTGACATGAAATAAAGTCAATAACTCATCTTTTGTTACCTTGAGCAGCCTTACCTCAAGATTTTGGCATTTATTCATCTGCTGTTTTTGCATTTTGTCATTTTCTTACAAAAATCATTATGCTTTTTAAGACTACAACAACACACTATAGACAATACATATTCCATAATACTTTGATTAGTTAGGTATTTCAATATATTTAAATTATACACTGTTTTCAGTACAATAATGACACTTGAACCAGCCGGCACCAGGACGTGAGCTAACATTCCCCTGTTTTCATCTTGAGTGTGTTGGAGCTTCGCCACACTTTTGTTTGTTTTTTTCATTAGTTGGATCAGAAAGTTTCATCATACATAACTGGGTTTTTTTTACTCAACATTAGTAATACTTCATATACTTGAGTGTAACATGAAAATTGTGCTCCTGGTTGCAGCATTATAGTTTGGCAGCACATGCACAGTCTACAATTCGCCTTTCCGTTTTCACCTGCTTTCTTTCAGCCTTTTTGCCACAACTGTTACTGAAACTCCAAAAAGTCGACTGATGAGATCAACCGCTCTGACCCAGCAAAAGGTTTGCAGCTGCAAAGGAGTGGAGATATCATTGAGTGTGTCTTGATTTTGGTGACGAAACCCCCAAAGGCTTTAGAGGCTACACGCATACTCCCACACACACACATACGCACACAGAGACTGTAACCTCATAAAACAAGTGTTCTTAGTCCATAATACAGCAAACAATTTGTACCTGTTGTGAAAGGACAAATAAAACTATTGCACAGTAACTGTCTTTCTAATCAGAACATGAGACAGTTGCAAAATTAAACATGAACAAATGAGCCCGTTTTGCCGCCTCATCAGAATGTGTAAGGCTGTGACAGTGCTTTAGGAGTAAGGTACCCCTGAACTCTGCAGTAAAGTCTCTTCTTCAGTGCTAAAATTAAAAAGAAAAAAAAAACCAGAAAAAAAAAGCTGCTCTATGGTTAATAAAGTCTACATGGAACAGCAACATGACAGAGTGGTTTGGCGCAACTAATGTTATCTTCAGTATGCTAATACCTCTAAGGAGCTGAGAGGTGACTTCATGCCGTGTAGATCAGTGATGCAGTTATAATGTCTGAGTGGAAAATACAACAGGGGGGGGGGGGTCCGACAGACTTGATGCCACCCTTCTAAAGTGGGTGTGGAAAAACTACAGACAAAGTTTCAATTGCAGTTTCTGTGAATTCACGTGGAGCCTCACTGGGAAATGAAGGCCCAGCGAAATTTCAGGAGGCTGTACGCCACCAGTCAGCCAGTTGAAACCCAGAGCAGCAGTGTGGTTCAGGGTGGGTGGATGTGTGTAGGGTAGAGGGGTGGAGGAGAAGGACGAGTTGGCGGATCTACATGCTGAAGCCGTAAGCGGGCTGAGCGGGGTAGCCTGCGGCAGCAGCGGGAGGGTAACCGTAGCCAGGATACGCTGGCTGGGTAGCCACTGGAGAAGGAGAGGCAGTCAACATCAGCTGCTGACCTGATCACATAAACAAAAACAAACACAGACAAAATAAAAATTTCCCCCGTCTTTATAAGAAAGTACACATGACTGGACTGTTTTGTTGAACTGCTAAATTTGTTTGTTCTATATCAAACAAAATTATGGGGCTTTTCTTTTTTTTTTCCCCCACTTAGGTTTTCTTTATGTGCTGCTCAATGAGCCTGTAATTCTTTTGGCGGTGTAAAGCTAATTGCACAGCAACAGCTGCTGCTGGTTTCAGATAATAACAGAAAATGCAAGCGTGTCCACTTATTATGGGTAAACTAATCAGCTAGATTATATCATTGTAAAGTATAGCCCAAGCTTCATTTGGGGAAATCATTTACTTTATCCAGGAACAACAATGTTCATCCCTCAGTGAGCTGTTCTGCCTGTAAACCTACCGAACACCATCGGCTGAGGTTCTGTCACTTCCTCTTCAGTTTTTCTTTGGCTTTCGGCCTCCTCCAGTTTGTCCACCTGAGGGCAACAAAGAAGAGAGGACGGATTAGACATCACTCACACGCTTACTGTTGAAAGAAAGTCTGAGTTTATGAATTCTAGGTATCGTGCAGAAAGTATATAAGCTCAAGTTGGCTCAATCTGTTTTTCATATTTCATAGATTTTTGGCAAAAACTTTGCAAATTACAACATACACTCTAATACCTGAGCTTTAAAAATACACTAAGGCTTATCCCACATCAAATTAATAAACACCGACAAACACAAGCAGTTACAGAAGATATATGATCTTCATCTGTGAAAGACAAAACTACAATCACCACTTCACAGTGCAGCTAAAGGTGAGAAGATGCCATGCAGGTTTGGTGAGAATTTCTAATAAAGCTTGCAGTAAAAATGTTAAATGAAAATTTAAGGGTCAGTTTACCCAAATCACATTAAATAAAACCATTTAACCTTTTATCACATCTAGTAGCATCAAATGACTTGTGACACTCCTGCTATCACCACAATCCAACAGGTTCTGCTCTGAGCTTTAATATACCATCTTTCATTCAAATACCATCTGTGACTCAAAGCTGTTGTTTATTTTTTATATTCACCAGTAAATAATTTGCCCTTAAAAAAAAAAAAAAAAAAAAAGTCTTTACATGGTCTGCATATTATGAATTCCAGATAACAATGAACAATGACAAATTTGGAAAGGTGCTAATTTTCTAAAAGCTAAGTGCTTTATGCACCAGGAAGAAAAGCAGATTAACATCAATCCAACAGAGCAGCAACAAATCCAAAATTGCATCACAACTCGACACCAGCAGGTTGATTTTATTTAATTTTGATATTTTATTTTAGTGATTTGTGTAAAATTGACCCTTTAAAAAGAAGAATTAAGGTAAGGTTTAAGGTTAAAGAAATATTTGAATACAAGGAGAGCAAAAGCTAAACAGTACGTTTCTAAATTCCAATTTTGTGCCATTAAAAAAGTGCTACAAGATTAAGTGGCAGTCACAACTTCAACGTGCACCTGATCACAGCTGCAAGCAGACCCTCCTGACTGAGTGTTTATCACTGCTGGCCTAAAAATCAAGCTAAGGGCTCGCAGGTCAAGCTCATCCCTTGCCAGGCGTACAGTAATTGTGAATTGTTTGTAGCACTAATCCTAATCCCTAAGTGCAAAGGAGTAATCAGGCACTGTGCTTTAACTGTGGAGAAGGCTGAATACTGAAGGTTTATAATTGAAGCTCGGTCAGCGCAGAGTCATGTTGAGTCAGAATTAAAGAAATAAACATTTCTTAAAAAGTTGGGACAAAGGTGTAGAGAAAAGAACATGATATTTGCATATACAATGGTATCACTGGGGTAAGCTGCCTGTTTAACATGTATGTACTGAACTACTTCATGTGAGGCGGGGTTGGGATTTCTCTACCCGATTAGCTGCTCAAACTGGCTGTTAGATTCCACCCCAACCTGTTTGACCAGTACCAAAGGTTTACCTACAACAAACCTAAACTGAAAAACTAAAACTAACTGAAAAGACTTCCACAAACTGAGGAAAGGGCACTACATAACCTTTGAGGTTATTGTTTGCAGCCCTGCACTAATTTCAACAATAAAAACTAAAACAAAGTGACCTTTAGTTAGAAACATGGGGGTGCATCGAGCAAGTCTAAAGCCAAAGCAGCTTTTTCTCTGTGATTGTCTTCTTTTCTGGGCTTTCAAAAAGCCTCTGTCAGATGGAAAGATCACAGCGTTTCAAGGCTTTAAAAATGCCACTTGACACAAGATGCAGCCCCAAGAGAGAGAAAAGTTAGAGGTATCCGTTAGGCCAGGACAGGCTAATCCTGGTGCTGAAGAAGAAAAAAAAAAATAGTGTACAGGCCTTGGCTCCAGAGTTTTTGTTTTAGACT